ACCAAATAATCACAGAGACGGCCGCAGAGAGTTGACTTTTCAGATCTTGCACTGCCAGGTGGGTAAAACTGGAGCCCCACCCAGCCATCAGCGGCCGTGTCTTCAGCCACTACACACCGAGGCTCTGGAACTCCCTTCGCCTCGACCCCTTTCTTTTCGACCGCACCTTCGGTCACCTTCTTCCCCCTCCCCCTGGCTCCTCCCCCTCCCCAAGATCATTCTCCCTCCCTCTGGCTCTGCCCCGGGATCCGTTACTGTGAAGCGCTCTGAAGCCATCCGACGTGGAGGGCGCTATATACATCCAAGTTGTTGTTGATGGTGGCGGCGATGGGGGCAGTTATGTGGGTGATGGGGGGCAGTGATAGGGGCAGTGATGGAGGTGATGGGGGGCAGTGATAGGGACGGCGATGGGGGCACGGTGATGGGGGCTGTGAAGGGGGCGGTGATGGGGGTTGAAGGGGGCGGTGATGGGGGCTGTGAAGGGGGCGGTGATGGGGGCTGTGAAGGGGGCGGTGATGGGGGTTGAAGGGGGCGGTGATGGGGGCTGTGAAGGGGGCGGTGATGGGGGCTGTGAAGGGGGCGGTGATGGGGGCTGTGAAGGGGGCGGTGATGGGGGCTGTGAAGGGGGCGGTGATGGGGGCTGTGAAGGGGGCGGTGATGGGGGCGGTGAAGGGGGCGGTGGTGGGGGCTGTGAAGGGGGCGGGGGTGGGGGCGGTGATAGTGATGTTCTGCCCAGTGGGTTCTTGCCGCCGCCGCCGCCGCCGCCGCTGCTCGGGACATGGGGTCCTCACCGGGAAATCCTGTGCCTGGTGTCAGCCTCGCGGCTCCGTCCCGCTTCAGACGCCGAGTCACAGCCTCGCCGCTGCGGGCGCCTGGAGTCCTGATCCCGGGTGGGCCGTCGCCTCCGACTGCACTCCAGGCTCTCCGCCACAGGAGACCTGGACCCCGTGCACCCGCCGCCCCCGCCTGAGCCCGGGCAGCCCCGGGAGCCGCGTGACACGCGAGCGAGCGCCTCCTTCCCACCCGCCGCCGTGTTGGGCTGCGGTCACGGCGCCGCGCATTCATCGCTCAACTGACGGGAAAGTTCCCGTTTCCCCTCCGATCACCTCACATCAACGATAACAATACAATCTCTCAGTGACCTTCGCACACAATTAAGAATGTCAGTGTTTAATGGGATTTTATCGAATCAAAATGTCTCAAAAGTTGCAGTGATTGTTTACATATTAGATATAGCAGCAATTCTGCTCACAAACAGTCACGAGGCTGTGGCCAATGTCTGGAGCATTGGCGTGAAGGCACTCTCTGCAAATATAATTTGTTGTTGTTTTGAGGTGATGAAAATCGCGAGTTCTTTCTGATTAACCGCTCTGCATTTATTACGCACTGATTGTTGATTAATCTGCACTAATGTCATCAGAGGGCAGAAAAAGTACAAATTGCTCCGATCAGCATTCTGACTTTTATTGTCACAAAATGAGTGTTATGATACACATAAGATTGTAAGTAATTATCACTAATAGTACTGTTGTAGATGTTGAAGTTTCAAATGGCACTTGCTGAGTTACTGTGCAGGAGATGGTGAGGAGACTCCAGGAGGTCACAGCGTGAAATCGCACACCAAAACACCAGCTCCTCCTTCACACTAATGCCCCTGTAGTGTAGTGCAGTGTAGTGTAGTGTTGGAGGTTCCATCCTCCCCTGGGACATTAATCCAAAGCTCTTTCTGTTTGTTCAGGTGGACATTAATGATCCCATGCCACTGTTCAAAAAGAGAAGGGAGTTTCTCCTGGTGTCCTGGCCAACAATCCGCCAAATAAAATTGCTCATTTGCTTTGACACATTCCTCCTGATGTGAAAGGTGTGATATCAAATGGAAATATAAATTGATCAATCTCATGTGTGCGCAACTTCACTGTTGTAAACACTACACATGTAACAGTAATTACCAAAAACATTGTCGGATTGATAAGGCACGATAAAAATTTCAATTCAAAAAGGAAAATAAATTGGAGTTAATGATTAAACGGAAAAATTTCAAATATTAAACCATTGCCTCAGGACCTTGCCTCAGTCAGCAATGACACACAGGACCAGAGTATAAAGGGCAGCTTTTTGTAACTTCAACCTGTGGGTGGTAAAGTGTCCTAAGGGAGGAGATGGTATTGAAGTCATAATGGCCTCACCTGGATCTGAGCAGAAGGGGATTGTTCGCAAAGAATCGCTGCCTGAAACTCATTGCCTGGTTTGTTGTTGCCATTACGATGTTCTTATTCGAAAGCCCAAAGTGCTAACCTGTCAACATGTTTTCTGTGCCGTGTGCCTTCAGGTCCTGGCCAGGAACGATGAGGACTGTTGGGTTGTGAGCTATCCTCTGTGTAGGACACGCACACTGGTATCCCAGGGGGCCGTGTTTAATTTACTTGATCAGGAGGAGCTTTTCGAACTGATACACGACAGGTCTCCAGCAAAGCCAGAAGACTATCCCGAACTTTTGCTGATTCCTCACCTCCTCACTCTGAACCAGGGGTCCACGACTCTTATTGGAAGCACTGAGGAAGGAAGCAAAGTTGGCGAGGGAGATCGGCGTGAGGTGGGTGTCGAACACCTGTCTGTCCTGTTGGTTGTCTTCTTGATCACTCTGATCCTTGTGCTCCAGGTTACGGATAAAGTGTTCCTAGTTTGGGGTCTCTGTCTGATGGCAGTGATATGTTATTTGATCTTTTTCATAGTCTGTTTCATGTCAAGGAAAAGGCGAGAGATTTCGCCATCGAACCAAGTGCTTCACCAAACAAACATAACAGTTATAACAAGAAGCCAATAATGAAGGTACCCAAACCAGTAAAACTAATGGAACAAACAAATATTCAGCATCAAGTCAAAACATCTCAAAGGGCTTTACAATAATGACTGTCATGTGTAGCGACTGTTTTTCTACACAGATATGGAAGCTGTTTTACAAACAGCAAAGCCCAACAAACAATCACAAGGTGAAATGACTGATTGTATCTGGGAGATTGTTGGCTAGGACACCGGAGAGAGGAACTCTTCTCTTTTCAAGTTGCGTTGCAGGATCTTTAACGTCCACCTGAAGAATAAGGAGACAGGAGCTTGCTTAACATTTCACCTGGAAATCGGCACCTTCAGCAAAACACAGCTGGACTGTGAGCTTACTCACCAATGTGGGGCTGCGACCGACTACCTTCTGACCACGGCTCCCAAACATTTACCAGATCATTCCTTTTGCACTTCTCAAATGCCCTCCTCACTGGTCCCACCAATCGTCACCATTCACAAAATACAACTGATCCAAAACTCCGCGCACGCATACTCGCCCATACTATTCTTCGTCCCCCCCATTACACCAGTTCCAGCCAGGCTCCACTGGCTCCCTATTGTCAGTATCGATGCAAGATGCTCACATGCGTTTAAAAATCCCTTTATGCTCTGGCACCTCACCTTTCCAACTTGCTTACTCCCCAAACCACAATCCGCTGCGTCCGCTTGACTGATTCCAGCCTCCTGCATGTCCCCTGTGCCCTCTGTCTATCGGTGGCCACACTTTCAGCCACTGCACCCTGAAACACTGGAACATCTTCCTCTATCCCTCCACCTTGCCCCTTCCTTCCCCATCTTCAGATCACGCCTGAAAATCTTCTTCATCCACTGTGCCTTGAGCACCTCTCCCCTCTGCCCAGCTCGGCATGCTGCTCCACCACTGTCAATACTCTGGGACTTTACCCTGCGTGACGGGCACTGTGTAAATAATAATAATCCTTGCATTTGATACAGCGTCTTATCACATCTTCGAGACGTCTCAAAGAGCTTCACAGAATGTACTGTAAAGTGAATTGACTGTATATTTTGTGTGCGAAGGCAAGCTGTTGCTGTTGATTTTGTTGGAAAATAAAGTTATTAAAACAGAACGTTTTCTTCAATATTTCCCATATGGAGTTAAACTTTATTATTATTAAACATCCGCTTGCATACTTGTTGGATAGAGTGGATGCATCTCCTGGAACGTGTCTGAATGTTACTGAGGTGTTACAAGCAATTGAGTCAATCACTTCATGGCTGTTTGCGGGACATCACTGTATGCTAATTGGCTACCGCGTTCATCGACAGACGCACTTTGCAGTGAATCCTGTGAAGCACTTGGAGACACCCGACAGAAAAGGTGCTGTACTTATGATGATTAACCCTAACCATGTCAGCTTGTCTGACGGACATCTGGGGCTGGATGAATGAGACCTTCCTACAACTCAACGTTGACAAGACGGAAACCATACTCCTTGGCTCCTGTCAACGTCTTCTGTCCAGTGGCTCCGACCTCCTTAACCTCCCCGGCCTATTCCTCAGACTCAACGAATCGGTGCGCAACCTAAGTGGCAAGTTCAACCCACAGCTCTCCTTCCCCATGTCCGGTCCTGATGAGGACCGCCTATCTCCACCTCTGGAACACTCTCGCTCTATCCCTCTGCCTCGCCCCTTCCTTCCCCATCTTCAGGTCGTGCCTGAAGACCTTCCTCTTTCACCGGTGCCTACGGTCCCCTCCCACTCCCCCCGGCTCCACGTTGTGCTCCACTACCGTCAGGTGCTCTGGGACGCTGCCCTGCAAGTTGTTGTAGTTGGTGCACATACTTAGGTTAGAGAGCAACAGCTGGGGGGGCGGGGCTGAAGGCGGGGGGCGGGGCTGAGGGCGGGGGGCGTGGGCGGGGCTGAGGGCGTGGGGGCGGGGCTGAGAGCAGGGGCGGGGCTGAGGGCTGAGGGGGGCTGAGGGCGGGGCTGAGGGCTAAGGGCGGGGCTGAGGGCTGAGGGCGGGGCTGAGGGCTGAGGGTGGGGCTGAGGGCTGAGGGCGGGGCTGAGGGCTGAGGGCGGGGCTGAGGGCTGAGGGTGGGGCTGAGGGCTGAGGGCGGGGCTGAGGGCTGAGGGCGGGGATGAGGGCTGAGGGCGGGGCTGAGGGCTGAGGGCTGAGGGTGGGGCTGAGGGCTGAGGGCGGGGATGTGACTTCCTGCAGTGCGGTATTTCCGGGTTTTGCTGCTGACACCCGCGGCCCCGTCCCCGGAGCTGAGACTCCTCCCACTACCCGGGAGGGCGGGGCCTGAGGATGGCGGAGCCGCTCGGCCGGAGGTTGACTGACGCGGGTCGGTTCGCCTGTGCGGGTCTGTGCGGGGTTTCCCTGTGCTCGCTGTTCCCTGGAGAAGAGCAGAGGTCAGAACCGGGAGGGTACCGGGGGTGGGGGGTACCGGGGGGGTACCGGGGGTGGGGGTACCGGGGGGTGGGGGGTACCGGGGGGTACCGGGGGTGGGGGGTACCGGGGGGTACCGGGGGTGGGGGGTACCGGGGGTGGGGGGTACCGGGGGGTACCGGGGGTGGGGGGTACCGGGGGTGGGGGTACCGGGGGTACCGGGGGTGGGGGGTACCGGGGGGTACCGGGGGTGGGGGGTACCGGGGGGGGGTACCGGGGGTGGGGGGTACCGGGGGGGTACAGGGGGTTGGGGGTCATTCTCATTTTTAAAAAAAAAAGTTTTAAAGAAACTCCAACACATCAGAGGCCGAGGATTGTCCATTGTGAGGGCATTGGATACAGCGCTGTGTGACGTCTTCGAGACGTCTGAAAGCTCTACACGAGATACACTGTAAAGTGTAGTAACTGTGTATTTTGTGGGCGAAACGCGGCAGCCAATTGCGCAGAGCAGTGTGTCAAGTCGCCGCTGAATTGTTTTGCATGATGGCCTGTAATGTCCCACCCTCTTAGTTCCGGACTGTAACTAACCCACAGCGTTCCCTGTTAGGATTTGTGTATCTTTATTCCTATTATTTTCTCCCATTTTCAATTTTTAAATTCATATTAAATCTATTTAACTTCCCTTAACCTTTTCACGTCCAATGAGAGAAGCCATTTGTTCCTAACTCAGACTAGTGAACCAACGTTGCCAGTGTCATGCTGTGTTAATTTTAGATCCTTCCTATAAATCATTATTATTATTAACTCTGTGTCCAAAACTGTTTACAATTTGCCGACAGTGACCTTGTTTTTTTTCGTCTTGTCTGGCGTGAACCACAAGGCACAGGAAATACTCACTCCAGGAAGAAATAAGGTGCTTGGACCTGTCTACGCTGCAATTGGCTGCTGCGTTCTGCCCACAAATATATGGTCAATTCACTTTACAGTCTATTATGTGAAGCGCTTTAAGATGTCTCGAAGACATGATAAGCGCTATATCAAATGCAAGGATTATTATTACGTTATGGTCTCAGCCAGGCTCTGCCACTGTTAAGCGCTCTGAGACGCTATCCTGCATGGAGGGCGCTATATAAGTGCAAGTTGTTGTATGTTGTGAATGAGTCTGTACTAAAGAAGTGACTTAAATGTGGCTGCTTTACACTCAGCTCGTTCAGGACAGGGTTTATACGAGGGCTTGTGGGATGGCTGCAACTCTCTGAGGCGGTGTTGCCGGTGATGGAAGCTTTTGCCAGCGGAGCGGGAGAGGAGGGAAGCCACTCATTTGCAGATTTGCTCCGGGAAGAAATGGCGCTAAAGGACGCGGCAATCCTCATTCCTCAGGTCAGCCCTGGGTTATCACAGTGCTCTCTGCTGGTGCATGTATATAGCGCTCTTCACAATAACATCTTACAGCAGGGTGGGGGAACAATCTGTTGGCTGCTGTGAGCCAGATTCCCTATTTGGGAAAGGTAAGGGGGCCCATATGAACAATATTCTGTATTTCTCTTCCAGGAACATAACAACATTTGCACAGTGCCTTTTTCATGTTGGAAGGACATCCCAAAGCGCTCGTCACTGCCAGTTGGTAACCTGAGCTGGGGGTGGGAGCTGGGCGATGGTCTTGGGCCAGATAAAATCATGTGCTGGGCTGGATGCCAGTTGGACCACGCTGTCTTAGAGCACTTTATAGGGTCACACACTGAGCAAGGGAGAGAGGGAAAGAGGAAGATCCCATAGGCGCAGTCAAAGAGGTAGATTTTTACCCTGGACAGATAAAGAGGTTAGGGATGCACTGGTTCGGGCACCAGTGGGGCTTGGGGAGGCGGGGTGGCTATGGATCTGCAATGAGCTCAAGTGTTGGGCTTTGAAGGTGGAGCTTAGCGAGAACTGAAGTGGGTAAGGATTCGAGTAGTGCAGTCTGACACAAAACCCATCACCGATGCTTAAGAGTATCCAAACCAAGAGATTTCCATGCATCCCACCTACACATGGGAATTCCAGAGACAGATTGTTGGAAATGCGCACTCTCTCTCTGGACGGACACATCATGTTTACCTAATTCCGGAAACTATTAGGCACAGGTTGGCAAGAGCCAAGGCTTGGGGACCACAGAGTTTGATTAATAAAGGGCGATTCCCCAGAGGCAGAGGCATTCAGTGTTTTTACATTAATGTATATTGAAATCAGCCAAATTAATTGTTCTTCTGTTTCAGGATCTTGTCTCCTTTTCACTAAGAGACGGTGAGTCATGGATGTTTCCAGGTGCAGTGAACAGTATTGTATTTTATTGTGTGGCGTGGATTCCAGAGTTTGGGTTTATAGAAGCAATCGTGAGTCAAGGTCCAATTGCAGCTCGTGCAAAGCTGCACAGTGTCTTCACAGGCGGCAAACCGTTCCTAGTGTTATGATGTAATAATACTTGTCGAATGCCAATAAATGGGTGTCAGCATTTAACTGACAATGTTTGTGTGTGCTCACAGAGCAGTTTGGAAATGACTGAGATCCCGATGAAGTGATGGAATTGTTGACAACAGCAGCTAAGCATAATTGACGGCCCGAGAGCCCGCTGTTGTGATTGATTGCCCGTCCGTTCCCCCCCACCCCACCCCATCCATGGACCACCTAGTTTTTGTTAAAGAAAGCATTAATGTTTTGGTAGCAATCTAATATTTGTTACTTTTTCATGTGTAGTTTTTATCAATAAAGTGAAAAATAAGGTTGGCAGTAAAATGTACCTCTCAATAGCACCAATCAACCCCCACCCGCTACTTTCTGCGAAACTGGCCAAATCTCCCCGCAATTTTATGCAAAACATTTCCGCAATTTCTATCGGCCATGGTAATTCCATCGAAAGCATTTCAGCCAATGTTATACCATTGCAGGGGTATAACACGCTGATGGTTGTGGGTGACGACAGTTTGTGTTGCAGGATATTATGACTCTCGTGCTCGGGTTTTAATCCGCCATGTCTCGGGGCTACTGCAAGTTCCCTTTGAGGAGCTGGAGGTTTATGAAGAATCGCTGGTGAAGAGTTTAAAAGGACATGAGGCGGAGGATTCAGAGTAAGGCAAAGCCATAACAAGTTCCTTTTAGTTTAGAAATAATAATAATAATAATAATAATCCTTGCATTTGATGTAGTGCCTTATCACGTCTTCGAGATGTCTCAAAGTGCTTCACAATATACTGAATTGATTATATTTGTCGACAAAAATAGTCGCACAAAGTACAACTTTGTTATGACTCAGTTATCAATGATTGCAAGAGTTTCACAGTCCAAGAGATATGAACATGGCTTTGCACTTGTCAATCAGCATCAGTTGCTAGCATTCTCACTCTGACTCACGAGATTGACATTCCAGTGCAGAACTGTGTAAGGCTGTGTGGTCAGAGGTGCCTAAGTACAGAATACATCTTGCATTTCATGCTATACCTTTTACGTGAGGAGGACATCTTAAAGCTTCACTGAAAGGATTCATTATAAAGTGCAGTGACTGTGTGTTTTGTAGGTGAAAGGAAGGAAAAGGGGAAAGGTTGCATTGCTCACCAAGGCCACTTGTGGAGAATTTACCCTCCCCACCATTTCATCTTTCAGATACGAAGTTAAACAGAGGTCCCATCTACTATTAGAACATAAGAATTAAAAGCAGGAGTAGGCCATTCGGCCCCTCGAGCCTGTGCCCCGCCATTTGATAAGATCATGGCTGATCTTCAGACCTAACTCTAATTACCTGCCCTGTCCCCATATCCCCTAATCCCTCTATTTTTAAAATATCTATCAGTCTCAGCCTTGAAGATGTTCAAGGACTGAGCATCTACAGCCTTCTGGGGGAGTGAATTCCATAAATTACTACCCTCTGAGTGAAGAAATGTTTCCTCAACTCTGTTCTAAACGGCTGACCCTTAATTTTTAAGACTGTGACCCCTGGTTATAAGAACATCAGAATTAGGACATAAAATAAAATTCAGGTGGACAACAACAACTTGCATTTATATAGTGCCCTTCATGCAGGGTGGCTTCCTGGAACGCTTAACAGTGGTGGAGTCTGACCCGAGTTAGTGGGAGAGGGAAGGGGGGGGTGACTGTAAGCACGTCTCAAAGCGCTTAACAGAATATACTGTGAAATGAATTGACTGTGTATTTTGTGGGCGAAACGCGGCAGCCAATTGTGCACAACAGCGTCCCACAAACAGTCATGGATTGAGTGACCCATTTATTATCTTTTTTTTTAACTCTTTTCGAGAATGGCAGCTAATCGGCTTCCAAATTCCAAGTGAATTTAAGAGTTTGTTCATCGAACAAATCCATAAAGACTGAGATGGGCATATTTGCTTTTCATGGATTGAATTATCACTAATTGTATTTCTTTCCATTATTGGCTGTTCACGTGGACCACTGACGTAAGTTCTCTTATTTTAAATAATCGTTAAAAATGTCTGTGTTTTCCTTCCTTTTGCTGAGTTGCCCTTCTGTGCGCACACTGACTTCTGCTCCCCTCTATTACAGACAGGCTGAGAGTTCCCAACGAAAGGCTAGTCGGAGACGGCTGAAGAGATATTTCCTGATTGGCCTGGCTGCAGTTGGGGGTGGGACAGTCATAGGTGGGTTTCGTTCACCCCCCTCTTCAATAGCCCCCCTCCTGAATAACCCCCAACCGCGGCACACCTCCCCCCCCCCAGCATTGCCGCTTGAAGTTGCTGTTGTGTGTACACAGGGCTGACGGTGGGGGGGTTTGGGTTTGTATTGTGTGTACACAGGACTGACGGGGGGGCTGGCAGCCCCTCTGGTGGCGGCTGGAGCTGCGGCTGTGGTGGGGACGGCAGGAGCCGCTGCCATTGGCTCTGCGGCGGGAGTGGCTATCATGGCTTCTGTGATGGGGGCCGCGGGGGCAGGCCTGGCAGGTGAGTCCCCTATGACATCTCTAACCCGTGACAAAAGGAAAGAAAGTCTTTGCATTTTTGGGTCTAGTCACGTTCAAACTTCCCCGTGTAGCTCCTTACCATCTCCCCACCAGCCCTGAATTGAGGTGTCAGCCGACTGTGAGATCAAAGCCCCAACATGGTCCCCAGGGTCTGCTGACTCGAGTGAGCATACTCCCAACTGATTGTTTGGCCAGCTGGGTGTCTGATGCATGTGGAAACCCATCACCGCGCTTAAGAGTCTCCAAGCCAAACAGCCAGAGTTCTGTGCATTCCACTTACACCTGGAAATGGTTGTGTGTTGGAATGGAATGTGCACTCTATCCCTAGAGGGACCCATCCTGTTCACCTAATTATGGGAGAGTATAAGGCACAGATTGGCAGCAGCCAAGGCTTGGGGACCTCAACCACGTGTTTGGGAGGGTAAAGCTAGAGGTTTAACCAGCTAAAACCGCATAGCTTGCCATGGAGAGCACTGTCTGGCAAGTTTCCCACTGCTTGTGTAGGTAGGTCCACTCTTACAGGGTTAATGGGAGTTCTGTGGGAAGAATCTGTGATCGCAGTGCCCTGCCCATAGAGGAGGATGTTGTGCATAGTGAAGTGGGGGGATAACGGAGGGGGATGTGTGTAGCAGCTTCTGTGGAAAAATTGCGGCTGCACTTTTGTATTGGCCCAGGCTATCAGTCTGAAGATGGAATGCTCTGACTGCTCCTCAGGATATAAAATGAACAAGAGAGTAGGGGCGATCGAGGAGTTTGAGTTCCTTCCACTGACCGAGGGAACCCAACTGCACATCACCATCGCGGTGACTGGCTGGCTCTGCACAGGGAAATATGGTGAGATAGCGCTGAGCGGCAGGGGCCAGGGAATGCGACAGGAAACTAAACCAAATCAGCTCTCGTCCCGTCTCCACGTGTCAACCAGGCTAATCCCACTCCTGCTCAACAAAACCAAATTACATTTACACAGGGCTTTTCACATCAGGAGAATGTCCCAAGGCTCCGGCCAGTCAGGAATCCGCACCCGAGCTGGTGGTTGGGATCATGAGGGGTGGAGGGCGGGGTGGGTAGGGATGCACTTCCTTTTAATATTGCACTTCGTCAAGTGTCCACCGCTCTTCAGAAAGAATTGACAGACTCCAACCAGTTTACCCTGGAGAATTTCACATTCCCACCACTCTGTCATCTTGTTTACTGACCGGTGGATTGTAAACACCGGCACAGACTGGTTTCCATGCTGTACAGTCTATGTAAAGCTATCTAATCCCTTTGTGCTTCTCGTTTACTGCCTCACTGATGAGATGAAATTATATAAATATGAACATCAGTTCTTTCCTTTTACATTCTGACGTTAGGAAGCTTCGAGACTGCTTGGCGGAGCCTGCGGCAGTGTAAGGAGCAGTACTGCCTGGCCTGGGAGTCCGTGTACCTGATGGAGCTCGGCAACGCGCTGGTCACTCTGCTCAACGGCCTGCTAAACATGGTGGCCCAGGAGGCTCTCAAATACACCGTCCTGTCAGGCGAGTCCTTGGGCTTTCTACCACACAGGCCCTCGGGAAAGATACTGGTGGGTGGAGGGTGTGAGAGCAGGGAAACAGGATGAAACTTTCTGTTTAAAATTCAGTCTCTTGGGTCAACACAAAGTCACTGAGATCTGCTGGTTCATTGGCTGCAACAAGTGGGCAAAACGATTTAGAGGCAGAGGTGGGTGAGGGTGGGGGGAGGATTCTGCCACGGTGATCAATCAAATAAGAGTTTTCTCCAAGAGTAGAATGTGCTGTGATTGTGATCGTTGTTACATTAAGCTTGGTCCCCACTAGCCACATTTCAGTAATCAACAACACGAACAACAACTTGCATTCATACAGTGCCCCTCATGCAGGGACGTGTCCCAGAGCGCTTAACAGTAATGGAGCACCACAGAGACCTGATCAGCGCAGAGTTTTGTCAGTGTTTTGTTTATCCCAATTTCCAGCTCTGCGTTACTCCTTATTGTTTGCACTCACTGCTCAGCTGTTTCTCCAGTTTCCCTTTGAACGATTCCATCGACCCAGCCTCAATAGCCGCTTGCGGAAAAAATTCCAAACTATCAAATCTATTTGAGTAAAGCAATGCCTCTGACAGTATCCTTGTCAGTGATTCCCCAACTGGAGGAAATTATTGTGACATTACAAAACAACATTACATTTGTATAACGCCTTTCCCAAGGCGCCGGACAGTCGGGGACTTGGACCCGAGCGGGGTGGGGGGGAGGGATGGGGGGTTGAGGTAAGGGGGGGTAGGAAGATGGCCAAAGGCACAGTCAAAGAGGAGTATCTTGAGACAGGCCTTGAAGGAGGCAAGGGAGGGAGTGAGGTGAAGGGTCTGGGATGGAGTTCCAAAGGATGGGGGCGGTAGAGACTAATTCTTTATGGTGAATTCCGAGCGTTTGATGCTCTTGTCTCCTTTCCCGGTGTGGAGGCTCTTATTTGTTGCTGTTCTCAGAGCTGTAACTGGCTTCTGTTTTCCTGTTAGGTTTAGTGACGGCTCTCACTTGGCCAGCTTCCCTCATCACCGCCGCCAACATCATCGACAATCCCTGGGGCGTCTGCCTGAACCGGTCGGCTGAGGTGGGCAAACACCTGGCGCAGGTGTTGCTCAGCAGACAACAGGTAAAATATCTTTGCTGTATGAATCTCAAAGTGCTTCACAGTACTGGCTGGGGGTGAGACCCGGATGGGGGATGCGTGGGTGGGGAGAGGAAGGGGAAAGATGACTGAAAGTGCGGTCAAAGAGGTACGTTTTGAGACGTGCCTCAAAAGATAGGAGGGAGGGAGTAAGTGAGTCGGAGGAACTCTGGCATGGAGCCCACACGACCATGGTGTGGACAGGGTGGGGGACAGGAAGCAAGTCCGGTGCTCGCTGAGCCAAGGAAATGGATGGATGGTCAGTGTGGTTGAGGGAGGTCACAGAGGTAAGTTCGGGGAGAGACTGGAGGGATTTGGATGTAAGAATGAGGATCTCGAACTCGATCCGTTGGGCTTAAGCAGTTACCCCGTTGCACACTCTGGGGTCCCCGAGCCTATGCCTCATCCGTGCCTAATACTTTCCAGAATTAGGTAAGCAGGACATGTCCCTCCAGGTAGAGAGAGCGCATTTCATTCCAATAAACATCTTAGGAATTTCTACGTGAAGTGGAATGCACGTAACTCTGTTTGGTTTGGATACTCCTTAAGCACGGTGATGGATTTCTGCGCCTCTCAGATACCCGTCTAACCAAACAAATCTGGCTTAATAATAAAATGAGAGATGGCGAAAGGGTTAATCTATTAACAAACTCTTCTCCCTCTGACATTTTCACTTTAACTGTTGCGCTGGGCAGGGCAGGAGGCCAGTCTCACTGATCGGCTTCAGTTTCGGAGCGAGAGTGATTTACTTCTGCCTCCAAGAGCTGGCTAAGGAGACAGGTATGTGGAGCGCCTGCCAGCTGAGTGATCTGTGAATCTGTGATTTTTATAGTAATTATAAAAATAATAATCCTTGCATTTGATGTAGCGCTTTTCGCGTCTTCTAGACATCTCAAAGCGCTTCGCAGATACTGTGAAGTGAATTGACTGTATATTTTGTTGGCGAAATACGGCAGCCAATTGTGCACAACAGTGTCCCACAAACAGTTGTGGGTTAAGTGACCAAATTATTATTATTAGTTTCTTGAATTATTTATCCAGAATGCTTCTCAGCAATGTGTGGTAATTCACAAATAAATCTTCTGTTGAATTAATGAAGGGCATTACAGCAATTACTGCTGACTGTCACCGAAATTACTGTATGAGTGACACAGCCACAGCCACGAGGTGAATAACCCTGTTTAATATGGAGGACAACTCTTTTGGAATCGTCCAACTGAACAGGCAGGAACTTTTGGGTTTAATATCTCATTGCTTCCTGCAATTCCCCATCACTGACGTCCCAGCACCTTGGGACGTCCTCCCGATGAAAGGCCCTATACAAATGTAATTTGTTGTTGTTGTTTTGGTTTAGACTGTCAGTCCAAGTTCTGACATGAGTCTTGAACCCATAACCTTCTCACCCAGAGATGAGAGCAAGACTGCCTGAGCCAGGTCAAGACTAAAGCAAAATGAAACAACATTGTACTTTCATAAGACTGTGGCAAAATGCAGTTTCATTTCTCTTTAGTCTCGTGAAGAGAGAATGGTCAGGGAAATATAAAAGTCCTCAATACAATAGCATCTGACCAGGGCCAGAATAATCCATTCCTCATGGATCGTAGCTTAAACGCTTTGATTCTATGCATTTGCCTCTTGTTACACGGGTAAAGCAAAACCGAGCAAGTATCCAATCTAAAATCTTTCTGTTTGATGGCGGATTGGCAAGATGCATTGTGTACGTTTGCTCTGTCCTTCCTGGAGGTGAGAGCAGCGATTGCAATGTGTGTATTCTTTCAATTGATGGTCACTGGTGAATCAATCAATAAAGCAAATGGGTCGCTGGCGTTTATTATAACAGGTCACTTCATGGCTGCTTGTCGGACTTTGCGTGCACAAAACAGCTGCTACATTTAAGTTTGTCTACAATTACTGTAAGAGACATAGAGACATTACATTGTGATAAGTTTCGCCCACAAAATATATAGTCAATTCATTTTACAATATATTCTGTGAAGCGCTTTGAGACGTCTCGAAGACCCGATAAGGTGCTATATCAAATGCAAGGATTACCATTACTATTAAGGATGATCTGTTTCAGGAGTCAGTGACATTCTTGCAATGTGTGATTAAGATTTAATCATTCCAACTTTTCTCTAGGCTCCAAAGGAATCATAGAGGATGTGGTGTTACTAGGAGCCCCAGTGGAGGGTGGAGCCAAGGCATGGAAGGCCTTGACTAAAGTAGTTGCTGGACGTATAGTCAATGGGTACTGCAGGTACACAAGGAATCTGTTATTAATGGCTCTTTCCTCAAACGTTCTCTCCTGAAGCTGCTGCGTATAGCTGGTAGCTCATCGGGTCCAGGATCAGGCAGTGAGGTGGATTTGTGGTAAACTGGAAGCAGCTACAGGCAGGGAGAGCTCAGGTCTCTACTGAGTTAGTTTCATGACAGGCTTGTCTATGAGCCAAAGCCCTTCACATGAGCACCTGGATTAAGGAATTCACAGCTGGCAAGTACTGTAGAGGTCCTCGCACCACACTGAAGGCAGATGCCCGCCAGGTAGCTGATGAGGAAACTGAGGCTTGGGGTGACAGATGCTGGAAGGTGTTATGTGGAATCCAGGTTTGTGTACACGTGTTCATGTATCTAGGTCTTGGAATCCACCTGGATTATCTTGCAGACGTATGTAGCTGCTACTCCAGCTCCACAACTCCAACTAATGGAACAATTGCTCAAATGGGAAGGGATGTGTGTCCGAGCTGCTAGCAGGACAATGAGCTGTGTTGCTCAAACTCGTAGGGAGTTTCTGGTACCTACCATCCACCTAGAGAGAGCATTAACTCCCTGTCAGAGGGCTGCGGAAACCCATGACCGTGCTTAAAGAGTATCCAAACCAAATTACTGTAACGTATTCTTTCTCACACTGCTTTCTGCTTGCCCAGAGGAGACTGGCTTCTGAACTTTGTCTACCGCAGTTCTTCAGTTCAACTCACTGTAGCGGGTCTGCAGCCAATTGCCTTGGAAGACAAACGAGTGATCAATGTGGATCTTTCCTCCATCGTGAGTATTGATCCCCATTTCATTTTCACATTTGGTATCAAACAGGGAAAAGGTGCAAGTCAGAGGCAGAGGATGCTGGTGTGATTGTTTGTGGTTTGTTGTCAATCGACCAAATGGGCCCATTGCACGATTTGAGGAGCCTGCATGATGTGATGTTCATGCTCAGTTGGAATCGAGAAGGGTGGAGGACAGGGTGGGAGTGGGAGAGGGAAGATGACCGAAGGCATGGTCAAAGAGGAAGGTCTTGAGATGGACCTTGAAGGAGGCAAGGGAGGAGGTGAGGTGAAGGGGATGTGGGATGGAGTTCCAGAGGGTGGGGGCAGCAAGGCTGAAGGCTTGACTGTTGATAAAGGAGCAGGCAGGAAGAGAATGGAGCAGGCCAGTGCCTGCAGAGCTGAGGGAGCGGACAGGTTGGTAAAGGTTTAGTAGATCGCAGGTGGAGTAACATCGTGGAGGTGAGGACTAAAGGATCTTGAACTCAATGCAATGGGGGATGAGGAGCAAGTGAAGCTGGGCAAGGATAATAATAGTCCTTGCATTTTATATAGCACTTTTCATGTCTTCGAGATGTCTCAAAGCGCTTCACAGAATAGACTGTAAAATAAATTTACTGTATATTTTGTGGGCGAATTGTGGCATTCAATTGCGTACAGCAGTGTCCCACAAACAGTTGTGGATTGAGTGACCAAATTATTATTGTGGTTTTTTTTCTTGAGGGATTATTATCAGGCGTGTGGAGTAAGGAAACTTTGCTGGGAATCGACCCAGGTCTCTCGCTGGTGAGGCGAGTGCTCTAACAACTGAGCTACAGGACTGCTGGGGTTGATCAGGTCACAGAGCTTAGTGTGGGAGAGAACACGAGCTGCAGAGTGCTGAATAATCTAAAATATAAATGTTAGAATCAAATGTATAACTGTCCTCATTTTCAAAGATCCTTATAATTAGTTAGCTAAATATTAAATAAACTTTACATTGATTTCCAGCACGGAAACAGGCCATTCAGCACAGCTAGTCCATCCTGGTGTCTGTACGCCACTCTCCATCCACTCCTCACTCCCTCCTTTCTATTCCCTTCTCTCTCGTGTGTCTACCTCGCTTCCTCTAAAATGCATCTCATTTAGATCCCATAGTAACTATCTTATACTTGTGTCCCTGGTTACAGATTTCCCAAAAAGTAGGAACAGTATTATAATGCTAACCGTATCAAACCATCTGATAATTTTAAACACCTGTATTATGTCCCCTCTTGAACATCTCTTCTCTAGTGAAGAAAGGCCGAACCTACCCAGTCTATCCTGATAGCAGTAATCTGTCACCCTCGGATCATCCTAGTAGATTTGCCTTTCACATCAGGAGGATCACTGCACCTGGACAGTAAATGGGGCCTCATCTGAAGGTTGGCAGCACTCCATTGGATTGTCATCTTAGACCATATAGGTTTCAAGTCCCCATGTGGATCTTGAGCTTGAACCTCATGGAGTCTTGTAGCTTAGTGGTTAGAGCATTCATCTTGCAAGTGAGAGGACTTGGGTTCGATTCCCGGGCAGGGCGAAACATTGGGCAAATTTCCTTACTCCACACGTCTCTGTTTACCTAGCAATAAGTAGGAACCCAGTTGTTGGTTGATTGGCAGATCGCTTTTCTGCCGGTAATAATCACTTAAAAAAAATTTTTTTTGGGTCACTCAATCCATCAATCCACGACTATTTGTGGAACATTGCTGTGCGCAATTGACTGCCGTGCGCAAAATATACAGTTAATTCACTTTTTATTCTGTGAAGCGCTTTAAGACGTCTCGAAGATGTGATAAGGTGCTGTATCAAATGCAAGGATTCTTATTATTAATTATTGTAAAGTGTGGTGAATGTTTTTGCAGCAGCCAGTTTGCACACAGCAACGTCCCACAAAAAGCCATGCAGTGAGCGACCAATTTTATCTGAGGGATTGTTAGCCAGGACACTGGGAGAGAGATAGAGGGACTTCCTTTGCTTTTCAAATAGTGCAGCGGAATCTTTAACGTCCACCTGAACAGGCAGATGGGTTTAACGTCTCATCTGAAGGACCGCAGCTCTGATAATAAAACACCAATATGGGGTGGTCGTGCACTGGAGTATCAGCCGATTGTAAACTCAAGATATGACGTTGGTTCAGGAACGCAATACCATTTACATTTACTATATATAGCGCCTTTCATGTTACAGGGCATATCAAAGCCCTTGACATAGCGACTGAGCCAAGCAACAAGTGCTTTGAGATGTTCTTCCAACATGAAAGCTTTATGTAAACATTTTGTACTGTTAGGACTACAGTCCAGGTTTATGCATTTCAATGTTTAAGTTGTTTTGCAAGTGAAATGATTAGGTAACAGAAGTAGCGTGAGGCATGAGGAGACAGAAGGGAATCGGATAATGTGGGAACAGCTTGCCTGCATGCATCACCGACATTGTCAACAAATCTCACTCCAGCACCAGAATCTTACACTAACACTGATATAACACAATATTACATTTACACAGCGCCTTTCACGTCGGGAGGACATCCCAAGGTGCTGGACAGTCAGGAATTTGAACCCAAGCAGGGATTTGGTATCAGGGAGGCTGGAGGGTAGGAGGGCAGCTGAAGGTGCAGTCGAAGAAGAGGGTCTTGAGATGTGCCTTGAAGGAGGCAAGGGAGGGAATGAGACAAAGAGAATGTAAGGATATCACAATACAAAGCATTTCGTCAGTTGTAATTTGCAAGATTGGTAGAAGTATTTCTAAATAGAGAATTCTGCAGGTGCCCAGGCCCTCCTTCCTGAGGCTCTGTTGACACCGATCTCAATTTTGCTTCCCGATTACCGACAGCACAAGAACGTGTTGTTCTTCATGCAGGCAGACGGGGGTGAGGTGGTGTAACACAGCCGGTTATGTACAGGAACAGGCCGTTTGGTCCATTGCGTTTTCCGCTCAGCTCTCCCACATCCTCATCGACCATCTAATGTCGTTTTAAAGGAATTTAATAACTGTCCCAACAATTGTTTGAGACAAAGAAACCTCCCACTGACCCCCAGGCCTGTCCAAGGGCAGTTGAACTGGCTCTTAGGTGACAGGTTTGGCAGCAGAATTGCCAGCCCTCTCTGCCGGTCTCTAGTCCGGTTCCTGAGCCAGGCAGGTCGCAGTATTCCAGGGCACTTACTGCTGATGACAGCAAAGTCCAGCCCGGCTCATTGGCAGGACCTGGAAGGGCGGACCAGTCACTGGGGGCAGGAAAGCCTTCCACTCAGTTCCAGTTAACCCTGCCCTAATGGATAGGGTTGACCTAGCTGGACAAGCAGCAGAAAAGCTTGCCAGACATCGATGTAATTGGTGCATGTGGTTGGCTCAGACGTTTCATTTCTCTCGCAACTTATTGGTGTATTCTCTCTGCCCACTTCTCCAGCCTCTGTTGCCATTGTCTCACTGTTAAATACCCCAATATTGCTGTTTTAATTGGTTAGACTCCAGCTGTTACCGCAACCTCTGGGCTCTCCCCTAAGCTATGATTGCTTTTAACAACCTGCATCTAATACTTTCTGGGATTAGGATGCGTTCCTCCAGGGAGAGAGGGCACATTCCATCTCACAGTCTGTCTCTGAGATTTCCATGTGCAGGTGGGATACATGGAATGCTCAGTTTGGTTTGGATACCGTTAAGCACGGTAATGAGTTTCCGCATGTGACAGACACCCGGATGAACCCCCCCCCCCCACCAAAAAACAAATAATTCCATATTTCAAGCACCCAATGTGAAGATATTCTCTAACCTTCCCTTTAATTCTTTATTATTATCATTATCATTAGAACTTGACGCAAATGCCATTTTTTATATTTGCCTCACAGGTCAATGGCCATTTAGATTACATGAAACAAATGGACACAATCTTAAAAGCTGTGGGTGTAAAGACAAAGGATTGTCGCTTGGAAGACCAGAGGAACATGAGTGGGGTATTTAACAGCGAGACAATGGCAACAGAGGCTGGAGAAGTGGGCGGAGAGAAGACGCCAATAAGTTGTGAGAGAAATGAAATGTCTGAGTCAGCCACATGCATCAGCAGTGATCGACATTCAGAGACTACAAGCAGCTCACAGCCTGATGAGGACTGTTTGGATACGAGTGTAGGCAGCAGAGGTGTCACTGGGGAATGAGTGCTCCCAACTCTCAGACTGTTAGTTGCAAACTATCTAGTTAAAGACTAGTTACAAAATCAATCATCTGATCCAGCCTGGAAGTGACCACAAATCTTTAAACACAGATTATGCAATTCAGATGTAATTGACACTGTAATAAAAATAATCCTTGAATTTGATACAGCACCTTATCACGTCTTCGAGATATACTGTGAAGTGAATTGATTGTATATTTTGTGGGTGAAACTAAATAAACTAATGGGAAGAGTGTACTGTGGTTGTAATCTGTGTGTATGTATGTGTGTGGCCCCTGGTGTGATGTGTGTGTATTGTCTGTGTTCTCTGCGTGTAGTCTCTCTGCATGTGCTTTACCTGTGCTCGTGGAACACCTATTGGGCCAGCATGCTCGCAGGACTCTATAATAATAATAATAATCCTTGCATTTGATATAGCGCTTTTCACGTCGGGAGGGCGTCCCAAAGCGCTTCACAGAACACACTGTAAAGTGAATTGACTGTATATTTGTGGGCGAACGCGGCAGCCAATTGCACACAGCAATGTCCCACAACAGTCGTGGATTGAAAATGACCAATTTATTATTGTTTTTGGTTTTGGAGGGATTATTATTAGGCTCTGTGTGGAGTAAGGAAACTTGCCCAAGGTTTCGCCCTCTGCCTGGAATTGAACTCAGGTCTCTCACTTGCAAAGCGAGTGCTCTAACCACTGAGCTACAGGACTCCACTCTGTTACCTTTTGTGATTGTTTAAAAAAGATCTTGGATCGTCTTAGAACTTGGCTCCCAAATTAAGATTTATTTACAGTGTTTTCAAAATTCTGCACATTGTTGCATTTTAAGACCTCTCCGACCTGTTTAACCCCAACTCACTACCCGCTGCTTCCGCTCGACTGGCTCCAGCTTCCTGCATGTCCTCATGCCCTCCATTCCACCATGCCACTGCGGCCTGAAACTCTTCCCTCTGCCTTGTCGCCGCCTTCTCCATCTGCTGCAGGGCCCCAGACACAGCCCAACCACCCCCCCCACCCCACACCTGAGTTTCTGCAGCAAATTTGGTGGAGAATCAGAGTGAAAAGTTACAGTAAAATTGTTTCTGGGGCTTGGAGTTTGTCTTCGGGTGAAACTTAAATGGCAGAAACAATGCCCAGGAATTACTGGTACAATATCCAAGCATTTTGGGACGCTCCCCTGGATGGTGCAAACTCAAGTTGCTGTTGCATATTATCATTAGTATTTTAGTAAAACCCCACACCCAAAAGAATTCATTTCACCTCTGTTGCCTTTTGATTATTGAAACAGTGACATTTCTTGCTCACAAACAAAATAGTGAAAGAAACAAAGGAGAAAAGGAGATATTTAACCGTTTAATAACTTCACAAAATACACATTCAAAGCACTTTGCAAACGCGCGGCACAGATGCAGAGTGTCCGCCCGGGGGCGGGTGCCCGCTGGCTGCCAGCTGCGCATGGGTCACCGCGCTGCCCCTTTGCTCTGGGATCAGGATGTGATGGCTGTGCCGGCTGTCGGGGTCCCTGCGGTGGGTTTGCGGGCGGGGAGGGGCACTCTGGGACTACCTCACGGACAAGGAGGCGACGCTGGGTCTGCGTTCCCGCCACCGCCCGCAGCAGCGTAGATACTTGGCGATAGCCCGCTTGAAATCCCGCATGAAGAGCGGGTAAATGACCGGGTTCATGGTGCTGTTGCAGTATCCGAGCCACGTCAACACATCAAAGAGCAGCGCTGGTACACACTCGCACATCGCCTACAGGGACCACAACAGGAAAAGGTGCTCAGCGCTCACTGACCATCTGATTGATCGCTTCCTTCCCTTTGTCCGAATATTCAACCACGTCCCTGGCAACACCCACCCCTCAGTGTCACCTAACCTCAGCAAATGCCAACCTCAGCAAATGCCAACCTCAGCAAATGCCAACCTCAGCAAATGCCCTGCTGTGAGTGGGCCTAATGCTGCTCCTCACACTGGGGTTCTGAATGACAGAGAGCTTCCACCAAGGAGTCTGATTTCATCCCATTGCTTCGGCAACTTTCCTCCTGAGATCAAAGCGGTCAGGATATATACACACACATGTGCTCACGCACGTTCACACAAATACACAATCACTTATACATATTTCCTCTCTCATAGACAGCAAACTCACATACACACACACTCACTCTCATAGACAGTTGTTCTCATATGCAAACATACAAATAACACTCACTGTCATACATATGTACACACATATTGGCTGAAAAATGCACACATACTTGCCTTCACATATATATGAGTGTGTATAGAAATCTCTGTGTGTCATCTTGGCTCAGTGATAGCACTCTCACCTCAGAGGCAGAAGGTTGTGGGTTCAAATCCCATGTCTGGACTTGAACTTACATTGACTAAGCTGACGCTCCAATGCAGTGCTGGGGGTGGGGTTGTGTTGCATTGTCAGAGGTGTCGTCCTTTGGATGAGATGTTAAACCAAGCTCCCGTGTGGTTCAGGTGGACGTTAAAGATTCCACGGCACTGTTCGAAAAGAGAAGGGAGTCTCTCCTGGTGTCCTGGCCAATAAATTACCTCAACAAAATTGGTCACTTGTTTCATGGCTGTTTGTGGACGTTGCTGCGGACAACTGGCTACCTTGTTTGCCCACAAAATACACAGTCAATCCACTTTGCAGTATATACTGTGAAGCGCTTTGAGATGTCTCGACAACCTGATAAAGCGCTATATCAAATTCAAAGATTATTATTATCTTTATTATGAGAAAGAATATGTATTTGTGTGTGTGAGAGAAAGTGTTTGTACATAAGTGAATTTTTGTGTTTACATCCTTAACCTCTTTGATCTCTGTTGGAAAGTTGCCAAACCAGTGGGATGTGTGTGTATATGAATACACACTCACTCTCCTACATACGCACACTCTCATACATATGCACACACAAATATACTCTCTTCTGCAGACAATTTGCGTACACACACACACACATACACACAAACTCATGCATTATATAAAATTACATAGTATCTACATCACTGAAATTAGACATTCGATTCAACTAGTTTATCCTACGCATTAGTCTTCGCCATTTCCCCAATTCATCCAACATCCTGTTTTGTGCTTAAACCACAGCTTCAGGCAGTGGGTACCATTTCTGACCAACCTCTGTGTAAAGTAATGGCTGGCTGTGTTTATGTGAAAGGCGCTCTATAAATGTAATTTTGTTGTTGTTGTTGTATGTGGTCCAGATATAGATTCACCAACAAGTGGAAACAGTCTATTTGTGTTCACAGTATCAAACCACTTTTAGAATTTTAAAAACCTCTATCATGTCCGCTCTCTCAATCATCGCATCTCCAGGGAAAACAACCCCAAACCGTCTAGTCTTCCCTGACAGTTACACACACACTCACATATACACTCACTCTCATGCACACACTCACACAGAGACTCACTCTCACAGACATCCACTCCCATACACACACACACAGTCACACTCATACACTCACTCATTCACACACACTCACCCTCATACACCCACTCACATACACATTCACCCTCATTCACACATTCACACACTCTCATACCTCAAGAACAGCTTTGAAATCATTGGTGTAAAAGGAATTGCAAGTGTGGCACCATCAGCCAGCGTATAAATAATAATAATAATAATAGACACAGAAATGTTGCTGTTGCACAGCCTGCTCACCTGGGCCACATTGGCCACAAAGAATGGAAGCCAGGTCACAAAGAACATCCCCAGTAAGACTCCCAGAGTCAGACTCGCTTTCAAAGCTTTTTTACTCTGTCTGTTGGCAAGTTTCCGATGCTCACTAATTCCTCCTGATGAAGTTCCCTGTGCCTGCGGTGAGAAGAAAAGTACCCAACAATCCAGAGTCTCTTCATTTGTTCCATGGTAATGAATTCACTGTAATTCCACTGGTTATTGAGACATTTTCATTCAAATGTCTCAAAGCATTTCGCAGGTTCCTGCCTGACACTGTATGTAGCCAAAGCATCGGTCAGTCATGAAGTGAATGATCAATTTATCCAGAGGAACGTAGGAGGCCATTCAGACCATCTAGCCTGTTCCATCTGTTTATTAGATTTGGGCAGATTATTTAATTTACTTTACTTTATCCCATACCTCAGCCTAAGGCTCTCTCTCTCTCTCTGGGCTTTTAAACATGTCTGTTGATTCCACTTCCACAAACATTCTGGGCCGATAGTTCCCAACAGACTGGGTGTGAGGATATAACAATAACAGCTCTGGCAGCATTGTGTACGATCTTCTTTCAGGAGAGCAGTGTATTTGACTGGAATAAATTGATCAGTAACTACTAGAAATGTTTCACTCAGTTAAAGATTTTTTGCAATTATATTCATACACACACACATACATATACACATATATATACATACACACATATACATACACTCACACATACATATACATATATACCCACACATACATACACACACATATACATTTTTACACACATATACATATACACACACATATATATACACATACATGTACATACACACACACATACACATATACATATGCAGACACACTTACCTGCAGAGGGTGGCGAGAAAGGGCGTTGGCTGTCAGGGAGGTGACCTGCATCACCTGCCTTCTCGCCGCTCGGAGAATCCTACAATAGGTGAAAGAAATAGCAGCGGACGGGAGGAAGAAGGTGAGACTGGAGGCGATCAGCGCGTAGGGGAGGCTGACCAGCAGTCTGCACTGGTCGCCATCAATGTCCGCAAAGGTGACATTGTGGGGGTGGACTTCAATACCCATCTCATGCCAACCCATCTCAATGGGCAGGAAAGAAGTCAGAGCCGCTACGGTCCAGGTGGTCAGGATCAAGAGCACTGCCCTGGAGGAAGTCATCTTGAGTTTATACTGGAGAGGAGATGTGATGAGCAGATACCTGTCCAGGCTGATCAGACACAGGTTCAGGATGGAGGCGCTGCAACACATCACATCGCATGAGGACCAGACAGCGCAGAAACCGCCACCAAACAGCCAGTGGCCGTACAGGTGGTTGAGCATCGCCGGCGGCATCACCACCAGTCCGACCAACAGGTCCGACACAAACAGCGACACCAAGAAGTGGTTGGAGATGGTGGACAGAGAGCGCTGTGTCAGGATCAGCAGAATGAGCAGAGAATTGCCCAAAGTGGTGAGGACGATGATGGCACTGAGAAACGCCGCCACCCACCTGTTGGCCATCCCCAGGTCCATCGCCAGACTGGGAGACACCCACACACAACCCACCCCCCCCCCCACACACACACACGCACACACACGACCCCCCCCCCCACCCACCCACACACACACACACACGCACACACACGACCCCCCACCCACTCACCCACCCACACACACACACACACGCACACACACGACCCCCCCCCACCCACACACACACACGACCCCCCCCACACACGACCCCCCCACCCACACCCACGACCCCCCCCCCACACCCACGACCCCCCCCACACACACACGACCCCCCCCCACACACACACACACGACCCCCCCCCCACACCCACACGACCCCCCACCCACACACACGACCCCCCACCCACCCACACACACACACACACACGACCCCTCCCACCCACACACACACACGACCCCACCCACCCACACACACGACCCCCCCCCCCACACACACACACACGACCCACCCCCCCCCACCCACACACACACACGACACCCCCACCCCCACCCACACACACACGCGATCAAGAACGACTGATGTTAGAGGAGACAATTGTCTTCTTTAACGATGCCAAACCTCAGAGAGGCTTCGCCATCACCACCAGCTCCAGTCTCTCTGTCTGTCTGTCTCTCTGTTTATCAGCCAATGCAGCGAATTAATCGCCAGCGAATCAATGACATACCAGACATCTGGGAAAGCACGATACGCATTTGGAGTGTCTGTTTCCCAAGTGCAAGTGTTATTGCAATTGTTTTCGTTGATGTGCAAAATGTCATGGTCCTGCAATTAGTCCTCCCTAATCCAAATGCAATCTCCCCACCCACCCCCTCCCAAATTAAATAAGTTCTGGATTTCGTGTTTTGCACAACACCAGTTTGTTATTTATGAATTGTTTCCAGATCATTATCCCTTCCTTTCAATCAGATAATAATAATAATAACAATAATAATCCTAGAATCCTTACATCCTATATAGCACCTTATCCTGTCATTCAGACATCTCAAAGAGCTTCACAAAATATACTGTAAAATAAATTGACTGTATATCATGTGAACAAAATGCGGCAGCCAATTGCACACAGCAGCGTCTCACAAACAGCCGTGGATTGAGTGACCATATTGTTTTTTTAAGGGATTATTATCCCTGGAAATGATCTGTCAATCGACTATCAATCAGGTTCCTACCTACTGCTAGGTAAACAGAACCGTGTGGAGGAAGGAAACTTGCCTAAGATTTCGCCGACTGGGAATTGAACCCGGGGGCTCTCGCTTACAAGGCGAGCGCTCTAACTATTACATTACACCACTCCACAATAATAATTTAGATCGATCTGTTTTGGGGGACCTTAAGGGACTCCACCAATTTTTCAAAGAAACCTGGAGTCTTTCTCCCAGTTCCCCTGGTTTATAATCCCTCAGCATCCAAATTCTCTGCGTCGTTTGGCGTAGCTGAGAAACTTCTGACCACTAGCCAGTCAGTCACCTTCTGTGTCAAGATAGTCTGAGGCAAGATGCTGATGGTCAGGTCAGAGTTGTCAGTGTGACCATAAAACCATAAGGCGTAGGAGCAGGCGTAGGGCATTCAGTCCCTTGAGCCTGCCCCACCATTTAATAAGATCATGGCTGATCTTCTAACCTAATTCCATTTACCGCCTTTTCCCCATATTCCTCAATCCCTCTATCCTTTAGAAATCTATCAACCTCAGTCTTGAATATGTTCAAGGACTGACTGAGCATCCACTGCCTTCTGGAGTAGAGAATTCCATAAATTCACTACCCTCTGAGTGAAGAAATGTTTCCTCAACTCAGTTTGAAAAGGCTGACCCTTAATCTTGAGACTGTGACCCCTAGTTTTAGATTCTCCAACCAAGGGAAACAGTCTCACGGCATATCAAGACCCTTAAGAAGCTTGTAGGTTTCTATAAGATCACCTCTAATTCTTCTATATTCTAGAGAATATAGGCCTAGTTTACTCAACCTATCCTCATAGGTCAACCCCCTCATCCCAGGAACTAACCTAATGAATCTACACTGCACTTCCTCTAAGGCGAGTATGTCCTTTCTTAAATGAGACCAAAACTGCGCACAAACTGCACACATTATTCTAGTTGCGGCTTCACCAACTGCAGCAAGTCTTCCCTACTCTTGTATTCTAACCCTTTTGCAATGAACATGGCATTAGCCTTCCTAGTTGCTTGCTGTACCTGCATCTTTTTGTGACTGGTGTACAAGGACACCCAAATTCCTCTGAACACTAACACTATCTAGTCTCTCCCCTTCTAGAAAATAATCTGCGTTTCTATTTTTACTAGCTAGGTGAATAACTTCAACAACAACAACAACAACTTGGATTTATATAGCGCCCTCCACGCCGGACGGCATCTCAGAGCGCTCAGAACTTCATACTTCCCCATGTTGTACTCCACCTGCCACCTTCTTGCCCACTCACCTAGCCTGTCTATTTCCCTTTGCCTTCTTCGTGTGTCATCCTCACAGCTTACGCTCCCACCTCTCTTCATATCTTCCGCGAATTTAGATATGTTAAGTTCTATTTTCTTGTCTCATTGAAATAGACTGTAAATAATTGAGGCCCAAGCACTGATCCCTGTGGCACTCTATTACTCATATTTACCAATCTGAGAAGGACCTGTTTATCCCTATTCTCTGTTGTCTTGCTGTTAGCCACTCTCCAATCCATGATAATATATTACTTTTAATTTCTTGGGCTCTAATCTTAATCAACAGCCTTTTATGTGGCTTGTCGAATGCCTTTTGGAAATCCAAATACACCACATCTACTGATTTCCCCCATCTAACCTGCTAGTTACATCCTCAAAAAACTCTATAAGATTTGTTAAACATGATTTCCCTTTCGTAAAGCCATGTTGACTCTGTCTAATCGTGTTATGATTTTCTAAGTACGCCACGACGACATCCCTAATTAAGGAATCTAGAATTTTCCCCACCACCGATGTCAGACTGACTGGTCTATTGTTCCCCATTTTTTTGTATCCCACCCTTCTTGAATATCGGCATTACATTTGTGGCCTTCCAATGAATGGGAACCATTCCAGA